GTAAGGCACAAAAAGTAATAAAAATTATATAGTATAGTAACGCATATAAAGTCATAAAAACGACATAAGATAATAAGGCATAAAAACCTCATAGGACAGTAAGGCACAAAAACGTTATAGTTTAGTAAAGCATAAAAATGACATAGTAGTTAGGCATAAAAAGTCATAAAAACGACATAGTATAGTATGGCATGAAAAGTCATAAAAACGACATAGTATAATAAGGCATAAAAAGTCATAAAAACGTCATAGTATAGTAAGGCATAAAAAGTCATAAAAACGTTATAGTATAGTAAGGCATAAAAAGTCATCAAAATGACATAGTATAGTAAGGCACAAAAAGTCATAAAAACAACATAGGATAATAAGGCATAAAAACGTCATAGGACAGTAATGCACAAAAAGTCATAAAAATGACATACGCATAAAAAGTCATAAAAACGACATAGTATAGTAAGACATAAAAACGACATATTATAGAAGGCACAAAAAGTCATAAAAACAACATAGTTTAGTAAGGCATAAAAAGTCATAAAAACAACATAGTATAGTAAGGCACAAAAAGTCATAAAAACGACACAGTATAGTAAGGCACAAAAAGTCATAAAAACGTCACAGTATAGTAAGGCATAAAAAGTCATAAAAACGTCATAGTATATATAGTAAGGCATAAAAAGTCATAAAAACGTCATAGTATAGTAAGGCACAAAAAGTCATAAAAACGTCATAGTATATATAGTAAGGCATAAAAAGTCATAAAAACGTCATAGTATAGTAAGGCACAAAAAGTCATAAAAACGTCATAGTATATATAGTAAGGCATAAAAAGTCATAAAAACGTCATAGTATAGTAAGGCACAAAAAGTCATAAAAACGTCATAGTATAGTAAGGCATGAAACGTCATAAAAACGAAATAGTATAGTAAGGCACAAAAAGTAATAAAAATGATATAGTATAGTAACGCATATAAAGTCATAAAAACGACAGAGGATAATAAGGCATAAAAACCTCATAGGACAGTAAGGCACAAAAAGTCATAAAAACGTCACAGTATAGTAAGGCATAAAAAGCCAAAAACGACATGATGTAATAAGGCATAAAAACCTCATAGGACAGTAAGGCACAAAAAGTCATAAAAACGTCACAGTATAGTAAGGCATAAAAAGCCAAAAACGACATGATGTAATAAGGCATAAAAACCTCATAGGACAGTAAGGCACAAAAAGTCATAAAAACGTCACAGTATAGTAAGGCATAAAAAGCCAAAAACGACATGATGTAATAAGGCATAAAAACCTCATAGGACAGTAAGGCACAAAAAGTCATAAAAACGTCACAGTATAGTAAGGCATAAAAAGTCATAAAAACAACATAGTATAGTAAGCCATAAAAAGTAATAAAAACGTCATAGTATAGTAAGTTATAAAAAGTAATAAGAATGACATGGTATAGTAAGGCATAAAAAGTCAAAAACGACATGATGTAATAAGGCATAAAACATGGCATGGTGTAGTTAGGCATCAAACGACATGAGAGCGTCGTAGTATAATTAGGCATAAAATGTCATAGAAATACCATAGTACAGTCAGGCATGAAAATTTATAGAAACGACATAGTATAGTAAGGCATAAAAGTTTAAAAACGACATAGTACAGTAAGGAATAAAACATGAAAAACGAAATAGTATAGAAAGGCATAAAATGTCCTAAAAACAACATAGTATCGTAAGGCATGAAAGCAATAAAAGTGACATAGTATAGTAAGCCATAAAAACATTATATCATAGTAAGGAATAAGAAGTAATATAAAAAAAGTCATCAAAAAGTCCCAGAACAGTAAGGCATAAGAAGTCTCAACAAAGTCAGTACAGTAAGCCTTAAAAAAATCATAAAAACGACATATTATAGTAAGTCCTAAAAAGGCATTAAAATGTCATAGAATAGTAAGGAATAAAAAGTCATAGTATACCAAGGCATGAAAACGCCATCATATGGTCAGGCATAAAAACGCCATAGAATAGTAAGGCATAAAATTGTCATAAAAACATCATAGTATAGTAAGGTATAAAAAGTCATAGTATAGTAAGTCTTAAAAAGTCATTAAAATGCAATAGTATAGTAAGGCATTGTTATGTTCAACAATAGACAGTAACAAAACAATTAAACAATCAACATACTCAAAGTAGTAGTGAAAACTTAAGGTTCTTGTTTTATCTAAGAAGCAGGTGTACAAAGTAACCAAGTAACCAAACTGTGGGGGAGGTCTGTACAATATAGTTGTGCCAAACAATTGAAATTAATGTAACAAAACAAGTTGTAACTTATACCCTACACCTGCAACAAAAATCAGAAACAAAAAGCTACATCGTATAGCTAAAAAACACAGAACATACAGCGGGTTGCACCAACCAATAAACCTAGTGTGCAAAAATAGAGAGGGTACAATAAACTTGCCTATGTCCACAAAAACCCTCCCCACACATACCTTTCTTATCACAAAACCTCAATTTCAACTGGCAGGCAGAGACAACAAAATGGGTCTCCCTTAACTGACAAAGGTGTGGATCTTACAGTTGGCTGAAGGAGGATAAGTGACAGAGAAAAATCAGCAGCACAAACCAGGTCACACAGGTGGAAAGCATCAGGCTAATTCTCACCTGAGGAGAAACAAGGAGAGGGGGGGGGTGGGGGGGTGGAAACACAAGAAAACAAAACAGATCTGCCTGGCATGTAACAGCACAAAAAGGCATAGTAACTTCATAGTATAGTAAGGCCTAAAAAGTCAAAGCATGGTATGGCATAAAAACATAAAATTATTTTTCTGAGGTCACTGTGATCTTGACCTTTGACCTTTAACTCTACCAAATTCAAATCAGTTCACCCTCGTTACTTAAGTAAAAGTATGTTATTAAATTTAAAGTAACATTTAACATTTTACTGTTGTAGTAACTTGACACGGAGCTGATGTTTAACTATTTTTATATAAGACTGGATCTTTTTACTTTGCTTATGGAATAATCTGCTGATGATGAATTGATTTGAATGTTTGGTTTGTAATACTTTTAAAAAGACTGTGACTTTCACAATGTTTTGAATGAATGACCTGGTGTCTGTTTACTTGGGGTCTCCCAGAAGAATCCTTGTGGAGAGCCACTTCAAATCTGCTAAATTTAACTCTACAACCGTTTACTATGACAGATTCCATGATGCAAGTGTTTCTGACTGAACCTCATGTTGCTTCAACAGGACGCCACTACTGGTCTGAATGAATAAAGTCTTGGCAGCGCCCTCTGGAGGCTGCAATGTTAATCACACACCACACATTAAAGAGAGTCAGCCAAAAAGCACTCACAGAAGAAGAGTTACAGCAGGTACCACTGGCTTTAATGGATGTTTCCACTGCACACGACAGACAGTGACGGATGGAGATGTTCCACTCGGCTTCCATCACACGTGACTGTGGCGAGCAGCTGCGATGTTTATCATCATTATCACCGTGTGGGCTGATACAGCCCATGATCCGTCAGATGTTTATACATTTCAGAAACACACCGAGTGTCTGCTGAGAAACCAGTGGAGAGCAGGAACGCTGTTTATGACTGTCTCTCTCTCACACACACACACACATGTATGGACATAAACACACACACACACCCAGACAGTCTGTCCGTCCCCTCCAGTTATTTTTAGTCTAAAGTCAACACAGCACTGTGCTTAATGATTCTACTAAATTCCATTAGATTTTCCATACAAGAGGAGTGATGAAACACACAACTAAATCTGTTGAGCTATTAAAATTACACTCGGTGTAATCATTGTAGGATTAATGAACAGAAAAAATATATTTGTTTTTAATTTGATAATAAAACGGAAAAAAAAGAATCCAATCTCACATCTTCATCAGCAGGTGGAGACTGCTCAGATGTGGTTAAAAAGCTCCAGAAAAAGCTAGTAAGTGGACCTTGAGTTACGATTTTCGGCTGGACATCCGTGAATATCCGTGACTGACTGACTGAGAGACAGAGTTGAACAACTGGCTGGCTGGGTGTTGGACTTTTCCCACTGGCAGTTGCTCTTTCAAACTGGTTTGATGCAAACCATTTCTATGACATCATCAGGGGAGCATCAACAGCTGTTCCACAACAGTTTCTATGACATCATCAAGGGGGCCTCAACAGCTGTTCCACAGCAGTTTTCCTCAAATAGTGACCGGGGCCTTTATTTGCCTCAACTGCTGAAAGCAACAGGTCTGTGTCTGATGTTTTCCCAAAATCACACCAGTGTCGGACATTGATGCTTGATCTGAACACAAGGTGGCGCTCTCAGTCTCTGGTCATGAGCTCTGTGTAGCTGAAAGCAAGAAGATTGTGGAGTTGATGTGAGAAGCTCTGACACCTGTAAAATGCAGAATGTGATTGGAGGTTTTCTGAGCACCACGAGGACGAGAGCAGGAAACGCTGGAGGAAGTTGTTAGGAAGCCGTCTGTGATGTTTTGTTGAGTCTGTTGGCTGTTGCCATGCAACATGGACTTAGGGCTGTTTCAACTTGTTTCTCAAAGTGTTATATAAATAAACATGTTATTATAATAAAGATGTTATTTTCCTGCCTGCTGCCCCTCCCTCACACTTTGTTTTTCATCCCTTTTTCATCGTCCTCAAACTTATACTTTCGTTTTCTTCTTCGCTTTCCTTCCTGTTTTTCTCTTTCAGTAACTCCCTCCTCTTCCTCCTCTTAATTAGATGTAATTTCACCTGGAGTTCCCTCCTCTTTCCTCTCCTTCACTGTCTCCTCTCCTCTCCTCTCCTCTCCTCTCCTCTCCTCTCCTCTCTTCTGCTCTCCTCTCCAGCTGATCTTCCAAACTTGGTCATGTTCTTCGTTCAGCAGCCAAACACTCTTGAGGTTTAAACAACATCCATCACACACACACACACACACACACACACACACATACACACACACACACTGATTCGGCTCTGCTCTTTACTCTGTTTCTATTTTAGCTCGACCCTCTCAGACGGCAGTCATGGCTCGCTGCAGGAGTTACTTGCGAGGACTGGCAATCTGTGTCACAGTGTTGCAACTGGTAAGCTAACTGCTAACGGCTTAATGCTGCTAACTGCTAACTGCTAACAGCTTGTTTGTGTTTGGTTGTGATGGATGTGATGATGAGCAACTGGAATCTTTAGCAGCAGGGAAGTGACATTTATCGATTGGGGAAAAACGAAGAAAAGTAAAACTGTAAAAATTCATTTTAACATTTGATGATAATTTTCAAACTTATTGATCAATAGTTTTTAAATCAGATAAGAATCTAATTTAATTAATCACTTTATAAATTGAGATTGAAATGAAAACCTTCACCTTGTGTGACAGTTGAGAAAACAAACATTTAGTAGCTGTTCTGAAGCTTTCAATCACAATACATGATCTTCATGAGCAGACAGAGTTTACCCAGGTTTCCTTATTGAAGTAAGACAAATGTATTATTTATTATTTACACATTTTTTCTGATCACTCGTCCAGCAGACAATTAATGTTGAAGTATAAATTCATTTCTAAGGCTTGTAAAAATTAATAAATTATAATTGTTATAATTGGTATGAAGTTTGGTATGAAAGACTTTATTATAATTAAAGTTTTTAATATTTTTATATCCTCTTATTGTACTTTTTATTTATTTTATTATCTTATTATTATCTTTATTATTTATTATCTTTTTTACTCTACTACATTTATTTGACAGCTAGAGTTTCTAGTTACTTACTACACTACACTACTACAGTATAATATTTACATACAAAACATAATGATTAGTTTATAAAATATGTTAAAATGCTGATCACTCTTTATTATTACTCAGCGTATCACGATGCACAGGTGCAGTTATGTGATTTGTTTCCATTTCTCATTCATTTCCTCTCCTCACTTCCTCCCTTCAGTCCTTTCCTTGCTTCGTCTTCTCGTAATCTCCTCATCTTTCCTCTCCTCGTACCTTTACTTTTCATTCCTCTTCATATTTCCAAATATATAAAGATAAATACAAAGAAAACACGTAACAAATGCAAAAAAAACTGAAATATATAATATCAGTGTCTTTAATAACCACCTTCAGGTTCATGTTATATAATAAATTATCATCATTATCATCATAAATATGTGTAAAACATCTTTGTATTGCTAATATTTCCTCTCCTAAAGCTCAAACTGAAAACATTTCCTGTTTCCTGTTTTGGCTGCTGTGTTGTTATTGTTTACACTGTATCAGCTGATTAAAGTCATTAGTGTGCCTGTTTTAGATGAAGCATGACCTGAGAGTTTCGCTTCTTTGTTGTTGTTGTTGTTGTTGTTTAGAGCAGCCACTGTGGAAATACCTTTTATTGACATTCAGTGTTGGTATCCTTCAGTTTTATGAGTTGTTGGAACATTTTTGTGCATTTTATTTACACATATAAGTAGTTTGTTTTGTTTTATTTCATTTTATACTTTCTTTCTTCTTTTACTTTTTTCAAATGTTTGTATTGTTTGTGTAGCCGAGCAGCGGGAAAAGGCCTCAGTGTGAGAAACTTCAGTGTTTTTCTGCTGGAGTGTTTGTGAACGGTTAAACTCTGACGTCTGGGACTCAGGCCGTCACAGTTCCCAGCTGATGGGATACTGATGAGCGTCTCTCTGGGGAGGCAGAGCAGTTTGAGAGGAATGCTGCTGTTAAAGACGAAGCCCAACAAACACTCAGTCACTCTCATCTGCAGCAGTTTAACGCGGTTTCACTTTTCTTTGAACGTTTCCCCTCATTATCTCTGCAGGTGTCTGGTGTGGTGATGATCGGCGTCGGATTTTCCTCCATCGACGGAAACATACCGGTTGCTGAGGTAACGCTGCTCCCTGCTGGTCAGTTTGAATTTAAAGAGAGGCCTGATGTGTCCGAGGGATTTTACTGGAGAAGGAATTCAACAAATAAGTGATAAATGACAAAAGTAAAGGATTCAAATCAAATTCAATATGCACATTAAAAATTACACAAATAGATATAATAGAATTTGATATCGCTCCATAAATTAAATTAAAAAAAAAAAAACTATATAAATAAATAATTCATTATCTTTCCATAAATTAAATTAAATTAAATTAAATTAAATATATAAACCATTTCATAAATAAAACATTTAATATCTCTCTGTACGTTAAATCAAATAGACAATGGAATAAGGAATTAAATATTATAGATATACATTCATTATATTTGGTGCCGTGTGACATTTAATCATATAAAATCAGAAACATTAAAATATTTCTTCTGTAAGTGAATGTGAAGGGGTGTGTTTCTCTCTCTCTCTCTCTCTCTCTCTCTCTCTCTCTCTCGCTCCCAGTTGTTTGACCAGTTGTCCAGTAGCGATGGTTTACTGGTCCTGCAGGTGTTTGGTCCAATCACTGTGGTTTTGTCTGTTCTGGGGATCACTGCTGCATCTTTGGACCTCAAACCTCTGCTGCTGGTGGTGAGACAATCACACACACACACACACACACACACACACACACACACACACACGGTTGCTAACCTGTGATTGTCTCCTCCAGTTTTCTGCTCTGGTCTTCATCGAGTTTGTGGCTCTGATGGTCGTTGCGTCGCCGCTGGTTCAGGTTCAGACTCAGGTAACTCCTCTCCTCTCTGCCACTGCCCCCTAGTGGCTGCAGTGTTCATCACAGCCTCCAGCATCCTCATGAGCAGCAGGTAGACTGTTGGCATGTAACTCAGAGCCTCATTCATATTTGTATTTTATTTCAATGAGTGAAGGAAGCTCCACAATGATGATAGAGAAATGCCTTTATCATCTAAAGTCTTTTATCTATTTTATGTTTAATCTATTATCAATCCAGTAATTTAATGTAATGTATAACTTCTATTTTGTATGGTATGATCTAGGTTTGAGTGACCTTACAAAATAAAACTGTTCTCTGTCACTGTTTGATTGTGTTGTGTTGTGTTGTGTTGTGTTGTGTTGTGTTGTGTTGTGTTGTGTTGTGTTGTGTTGTGTTGTGTTGTGTAGATGGACGGTGAAGTGGACGAGGTGTTTCTGAACGTGACCCCCCTCTACAGAACAGATCCTTACATCCAGACTGAACTAAACAAACTCCAGGCCTCAGTAAGACACGTGAAGAAGAAACTCATAAATCGTAGCAACGAATCTGATTCAGTCCAGAAGGAATTGATCTTTCTAAATGTGCTGAGTCAGATTTGACGTAGACTGAAGATAACCTCGCTCCGTCTGTTCCCCAGTACTCTTGTTGTGGTTTGAGGAACTTTGAAGACTGGCAGGATCAACTTCCTGACTCCTGCTTCTGCACGCCTCCCACCTCCGACCTGGAAAAGAGGTAAGACAGCAAAACATGAAAAATGCTGAAAGCTTGTAAGCCCCTCGAACAATGTCGGGATTTTTATAAAAGTTCTTGAAGAAATGCTCGGGGGTCCAGAAGACTTCCTGGATTTCTGCAAGAGTCTTGAAGAGCGTTGGAGCTTCTACAAGAAATTTTCATATTAGGCTCTAGAAGAATGTCAGGATTTCTAGAAAAATGTGAGTTTTCTCCTAAAGCTTTGGAGATTCTTGTGAAATGTATTGATTTGTAGAACAACAGAGCATCTCAAGGAGCTTTTGAGCTTTTAGAGATTTTTAGAACAACTTCTGAGGATGTTGATGAGCTGTTAAGGTTCTTGAAGAATTCTTGGATTTCTAGATTTGGTTTTGAGATCATCAGCCTTACGAGAGTTTCCATTTTTTAAGACTTCATAATTTTTAGCTGAGGTTTGAGTTTCTAGAGGAGTTTTTCATTGATGACTAGGAAAAATTCCAAAGCTTGGAAAGTGAGTAATTTTCTAGAAAAGGTTTTCAGAAGAATTTCCCGCTTCCTCGAGAAATTTGAAAAAGTATCAAACTTTTGAGCTTCTAGGAAACAGATATAATAGAGCAGTTCATTTCTCAGCCTTTGAGCTCATACAAAACATTTCTTATTTCATGAATGGTTTTTGAGTTTCTAGAAGCGTTTCTTAAAGATCTTTTAAGCTTCTCGACAAATTCTGAATTTCAAAAACAGCTTTTGATGTTCTTAAAGATCTTTGGAGCTTCTCAAAGAATGTTTGACTTTCTTTTAGAGGAATTTGAGTTCTGTCCTACAGTGTTTGAATTACAAGAAGAATTTCTCAATTTCTTTTGTTTTTGAGTTTCTCGTAGGGCCTGTGAGATTCTAAAGGGATTTCTGGATTTGTAGAAATTCAAGATTTTTTGAGTTTTGAACTTCTAGAGGGGTTTGCAAGACTTTAGAAGAATTCAAGACTTTATTATGTTTCTTTTTTGGTCATTTTGTTGAGGTGGTCGGACATAGACAATCTTAATCTTCTGCACCAGATGTTTTTGAGGCTCTGGTCTCAGTTTCTTCCAGAGATGCTGCTCATGTTTTCTTCTTCTCTTTGTCTCACAGCTCTCGACCCAGTAACTCCAGCTCAGAGGGGCCCTGTGTGATGGTAGACAGCGACCATTACCTTCCAACCCGACAGGTCACAGATAAATTATGGGTTCACTCGGAGGTAACTACTCGGTCTCATCACCCACTTATTTCTTCTTTTTCACTTCTTTTTCAGCTACTCCTTCCCTTCTTGGTTTCCACCATTATTTCTTTTCTTTCCCCAAGTTTTTCTTATCGTTGAATATTGACCTTTGACCTCTGTGTGTGGCAGCCCTGTGGGCCCATCCTGAAGAACTACCTAAGCTTCCCCATCAAACTCAGGATAGGAATCATTTCAGCTGTTGCCACCATTATGGTAAACAAAAGTGTTTTTCTTATAAATGTATCTCGTCTTTCTCTGTCATCTGTTATTTTAAAACTTCATCTACATTTTTGTAACTTCACTGCAGACTTTATGTTGATTTAAACATTGAAATGTGCAATTGATGGTGGACAATAGTAATGTTAACTTACGGAAACAGACTAATGACCAGAGGCAACAGGCAGATACAGAAATATTTCTATGTGAGTTCTTAGAAGAGTTGATGAATGAAAATAGGATTTTCTGTAAGAGCTTGACAAGTTTGTGTGATTCTAAAACAACCTGAGTTTCAAGCGGGGATTGAGTTGCTGATGTGTTATAATTTGCTATGAAGGTTTATGAGTCGGAAGAGTTTGTAAGGAACTATTAAAGTCTGCATCTTCCTAAATATGTTTCTAGAAAAGTTTCTGAATTTGTGGAAGCATTACAAGTTTCTAAAAATGTTTGAATGTCTGGACGTTGTATCAGTTTCTACAACAGCTTACCTGTTTCTAGATAGCTTTCTACCACAGTTTAGACTTTTCTGAAAGGTGTTATGAGTATCTCCAATAGGTTATACTGTATGTTTCTGGAACCATTACCAGAGTCCATGAGTCTCTAGAAGTCTTCAGGAGTTTCTGGATACGTTATGTGTTTCTAGAAAAGCTTAAGTTTCAGAGATGCTACAAGTTTCAAGGAGTTTATGGATTTCCAGAAGTGATGAGTTTCTAGAAATGGAGCTTATGGAAGAGTTTTCTAGATTCTAGATACAGTATGTTTGTGTAACAGTGGGAAGGAATTTAAGTGTTTTTCAGGATGGTTTATGAATTTCTGGAACACTTAAGATGATATGAACAATTTGTTGGTGGAAGAGTTTTTGTGATTCTGTAAAAAAAGAAAGTATATGTTTCCGGAGGTCTTACAAGTTTTAAGGTGAGTTTATGAGTTTATGGAGGAGTTTATACATTTACACATTTTTGGAAGTTTGCAAGACAATTCGAAGACAATTGAGTTTGCAAACATGATTAGATTTCAAGTCAAAAGATCCTAGTTGAGTTTAAGATTCTAGATTTCACCTACATTAAAGAAGGAGCTGAAAGTGTATTTCACAAAAACAAGCAGTAATACATTATACTGTACATACTGTCACCAATGCAATAATACACTATGTTTGCTGCAGATGGCGGCCATTGCTCTGTGTCTGGCTTTGGGTCTGGAGGAATATTGGAAGAAGCCACCGGTAGAAACCACAGTTGATGACTTCAACAGAGTGAAATATGAACCCAAGCCCACCCTCACCTGACCTCTGACATCTGACCCGTCACCCAAAACTGAGGCATCGATACATACATGCTGGTGGTGGTCGAAGACTTCAATAAAAACCGTGTCATCCAGGTTTTATGGGAATCTGAAAAAGTTTTCAAAACAGTGTATTTATATTTGACTTGATCTGTGATGATTGAATGTAATCACAGGAAATTTCTAAAGATGGTTCCAACTCTAATACACACAACATCAAGTTAAAGAAAAGAGTATTCCAACTCACTCCTGGGCTTTCTGTCGTCATAATAGCATCACAGTCTGAGGTGGGCAAGAACACAATGGGGCACCTTTGAGTATGAAGCCTTTTCACCAGCAGTTTTTAGGGGAAATCTGACATTTGAGATGATGAGCCAATCAGATCTTGAGGCCCCAAAATTTGCCTTTCCATTATTTCTCTTCAGGACAAGATATTTTAAACTAGGGATGAGTCAAAAAACACAGTGAACTCCAGAGTCAAGACGAGCTCAGACACTTCTTATCTCTGCTTTTGAACAGATGTTTGAAAACTTCATCCAGAGCTACGACTCCTCTGAGAGAACCCTTTATTCTAAACTAATAACAAGTAGAACTAGAGTGGCTGCTGGTTGTGATGAAATGTTTGACTCTTGTCTTTGGTGCTTTACCGATAAAGTTTTCTCCTGTTTACTTAAAAGCTTGCACCAGTAACGTTTGTGTGGTCTTTAACTGTCGTTCCCTCCTGCAGCCACAAGGTGGCAGCAACGCGGTGAACACGCTGTGCAGCGGGTCACTGTTTGGGCTGTTTCTGGTTAAAGTGAGGAGGGTCTCTGCACAGCTTCAATCACTGAAAGCTTCAGCGCTGAAACTCTAGATGTTCTGCAGGGAAACTCTCTTCATGTACAGCATTTACTACTACACACTCAGCGAGCACTTTATTAGGAACACCGCACTGATCCTGTAGGGCCTTCCTCTGCGTGGCATGGGTGTTTATTTTTCAGGCAAAATGTTCTGTAAGTAAAAGTATTTGTTGTGCAGTAAAATGATGCCAACAAATCCTATTAAAAGTCTGTGTGTGACTATGTGTATAAATCCTGATATATCTATTAAAACACATCAGTGAGACACGCTGCTGCACATGTTCCTTCATTATGAAAAATGTGAGTTCTGTTTATTTATAAACAGCTCCACAGACTCCTGTCACAGTTCCTGGAGGGGACTTCCTGTGGGGCAGATGCCACTGAGTATGCTCAGGAAAATCACTGGTACTGTGAACAATCACTTTTTCCTCTCTGCCTGTCAAACTGTATGAAATAAGCATCAGAAAACAAAGTGATCTGTGTGTCCTGGGGCCGAGAAGCCAGGGAGGGAGGGGTGAGACATGTTATTCATCCTGGTCCCTCCCACCTCCCAGCCCCCGCACTATCGGCTCCAAATCCCCTCATTCATGGCCCCATTTTCAGGGTTGTCCTCAGTTACCCCCTCTGAATACCCCGTCCTATACTTGTGCGTCAGACATACAGCACTTTGTTTGGTCCACTGGTTCCCAAACTAAGTGTCACAAGATTAATTTGAGGGATTGTGAGATGATGGAAGAGAGAGGAAACAGAAACAAACTTCTGATACACATCTGTTTTATCTGTTTTCCTTTTTTTTTTTATTTTTGACATTTATTTAATCTTCGCTTTGTTTTGTTTCTTCTGTGATCAAATTTTCATAATCATTTTGCCCCCAGTTCTGGAGGTTGGATCAGAAACATCTGTAATGTTAAACATGGATTCTTTTAACATAACATACAAACATGCTGCTCTTCTTTATGCGTGTACATGGCATTCATCAGCTGCCTGACAAAGGGCTTTTATTTACCCCTCTAATACCAGAGAGGAGGAAGTGGAGGTTGCTGGTTCCCAAACAAGGGGTCGGGCTCCTTCAGAGGGTCACCAGATAAACCTAAGGGGTCATGAAATTATTATTATAGAGTGGAAAAAATAGGAAGACAAATGTCTGATACACTAATCATGTTTTCAATAGTTGTTTATTTTCCCTAATCTTAGTTTTGTTTTGTGAGATATCGGATAGTTTTATCTTTTTGGTCAGAAATTGTTCCAGACTGTATTTTAATGGCACAAAGGTGTAAATGCAATATGAATGAAAATTCATGATCAATTTTTATATTTTTTTTTATTTATGTCTGTCTGACATAAACAGCAATGATTTCATTATGTAATGAACCTGCCTTTACTCTAGAGGGTGTGGGGGTCCCTAACTGATATTGAATGAGTTGAGGGGGGGCAGATAATGACTGTGACATTCAGAATATGCTCATGATTGTTGTGGGTCTTTTTCCCTCTCAGTTCAAATGAGAGGAAGTTACGATTTTACCCAGGAGTCTGTTTCGGTTGATGGGGCAACAGTTTGGGGAAAGCCCTTTCCTGTTTAAACACTGCAGTGTCACGGAGCATGAAGTCGGCTCCAAAACAAAATGGTGGCACCATTCATCTTGTATTCAGTTAATAATGTTAGTATGACGTTAATAAGCAGCTCAGTTTCTAATGAAACATTAAGCAAAAGCTTGTCAGTCAACTGCAATTACAAATGTTAATAAACCAGTAACAAATGTTCTACAACTTGTTCTACAAATGTAACTACAAGAGTGTAAGCTGAGCAGGATGTGTGAAGGGAAATATGTTTCAAGACATGAGAACTTGGAGAATACGACGTGAGAACGTGGAGAATAAGACGTAAGAACTTGGAGAATACGATGTGAGAACTTGAAGAATATGATGTGAGAACTTGGAGAATACGACGTAAGAACATGGAGAATACGACGTAAGAACTTGGAGAATACGATGTAAGAACTTGGAGAATACGACATAAGAACTTGGAGAATACAATGTAAGAACTTGGAGAATACGACGTAAGAACTTGGAGAATACGATGTGAGAACTTGAAGAATATGATGTGAGAACTTGGAGAATATGAGAACTTGGAGAATACGATGTAAGAACTTGGAGAATACGACGTAAGAACTTGGAGAATACGACATAAGAACTTGGAGAATACAATGTAAGAACTTGGAGAATACAACGTAAGAACTTGGAGAATACGACGTAAGAACTTGGAGAATACGATGTAAGAACTTGGAGAATACGACGTAAGAACTTGGAGAATACGACGTAAGAACTTGGAGAATACGACGTAAGAACTTGGAGAATACGATGTGAGAACGTGGAGAATATGGGGCGAGAACCACAGCTCTGTCATTACATCCTGTGGAGTGGGTCAGTGGGAGTTCACAGATATTCTCTCTTGCAACACTTCTCTTCTTCTTGTTCATGAATATTACAAAACCTTTTCTGCTTCATCACTTGCACAGCTGCGGGTTTTACAACACATTTATGTACAAGAAGAAGAAGAAGTGAGGTGACGGAGCACATCAGTGAACGAGATACTGAAATGCTAATTTTGAGGCAACCTTTCTTATCAGCACGGATACAGTATCTCCACAGTAAGTAAGAGAGCGAGAAGATGAAACCGCCCTTGACTGAAATAAAAACCCACCTGCAACCAGCAGCTGAGCACAAGGAATGAAAACAGAGATACAGTCTCAAAGCTGAAAAGTTGTCCAGAGATGTCATCATACAGTCATCCAGTTCATCCAGATCATCTCAAATGATCTCAAATGATCTCAGCTAAAAGCCATCCAACCTAGAATCTGTAGAGTCTCCACTTTGCATTTCATATTCTTGTGAGATCGTACGTGACTCATAGGCGGAGTTAGAAGGTTTTTAAGCAGGCCTCGCAAACATGGTTAAAGTAGAGTTACAGACAACACTTTGCATTTCAGGTATTTATCATACATTTATCTACTAATTTACTCACATGTTTCACTATTTTTATGAACCTAATAACTTTGGTAAACCAATTTCAAGCACCAAAACGATTCATCCACATCAGTAAAGGTGAGTTTTCACGAGAGATTTGAAGAATTAAAAAAAACACTGGGCTTCAATTTTTCAGCATTTTGGACAAATGATCTCTTTGCACAGTATAAAGAGGGTCAAAAAGGGGCATCATTATAGAAAGAGCTGAGATTGTTCTGAAAATTGTGACATAAATCACTTTGGTATTATCTTATATGTATAAATATCTTAAGAAATAATGTAGAAATTGATAAAATACCCTGAGACCTCTGAGGGTTAACAACATTTCGATTGAGATATTCTTCTACTGGAGTTAATGAACCCATCACGAGTCACAGTCTGCTGTAAATATTCGTCATTAAAAGACACTTCACGGTGTCATGGAGCATGGATCTCAAACATCCTCAACTGAAGCTGGGCGGATTATAAAATCCCAACTAAAGCCTGGATGGTGTCTGATGTCTTCTGTCATGTCACTGTGACAAGTTTGGAAAAACAGTGTTTGCAGTGGTGGAGGGTGGGGGGGTGGGGGGTGGGGGGTGGGTGAAGATTTCATAAGCAACAGGCTGAAACAGGACGTTGGCATCCTGCAGGAAATTCCACCCTAAAACATAATATTCAATAACGATCTTGCAATCCTGGAAATGATAACACAAGACCCGAGGGAGTTTGGAGACTGTGTACAATTATTGAATGAGCACGTGTGTGTGAGAGGACTGAGGTGATTACTGAAGACGCTGTCTCTGCGTCCACGCCGAGAGTAGAAGTTGAGCTGTTGGTTTCAGAAGTACATTCCAAACTAGATCCAGAGTTTTCTTATGCACATGAATGTTGTCAGTCGCTGGCCCCTGCCTCCAGAGGAAATCCTACATCCTGTGAAGGAATGAATCCTGGACCAAGAGTCACACGGCAACAGAGTGGCACGAACACATGGAGCCCAACTCACACCCTTCATTTGAGACTATAAGCCATTCAGAATGGAAACAGTGTAGAAAAATAAATTTTACATTAAAGAAATATTTTTTTTTAAAGCTCTAAATCATGTTGTTTTTCTTATTTCTTATATTTATGTGGCTGTTTACTTCTTGTGAGTGCTGGAAAGTGACAAAGTAAATGTACTCATGTACTTTACTTAAAGCTCCTCCAGTGTAAAGGTCTGTGTCCATGTGTAGTGTGATTATAGATCAGCTCTAGCTTCTATATTAATACTGTGAAAGTATCAAAGCCTCAGTCCACAGAGAAATGCACACAGCCTGTATTCAGAAACTGAGCCTTAAAACCAGCCGTCAGGACTTCTGGAACTTTGTGATGTCACAACAAAGCAGTCACCAAGCCCCGCCCACCTGGACCCACCATCCAAACCTTGCAGGATTTGGTTTCTCTGAGTGTTTTTACCTGAAATCTGCTATATTTTTATGGGCTCACTCAGAAAACAGTCAGCCAATCAGAAGAGAGGCTCAGAGCCTCCTCTCTTCTGATTGGCTCACAGACCTGTTGTTACTAGAGCTGCAGAGAGAAGCCTGAGAGAGGAGATGTAAAACTACACTGAGATGGTTTTTATATCTTCGATACTTCAAATAAAACACAGAAGAAGAAAATATGGAGCTTTAACTGCAGTTTGCTTCTTTCTCCACTGCTGGAGATCAGATCACAAAGTGGAAACAATAATAGATAATGACAATGTGTTTTTTAAACCAGGTGCAAGTGCAAACACCCGTGGGAAACCAGAATCAGTGACAGAGAGTAACTCTTCTCCCTGTGTTTTTCCCCGGTTATGAACAAAATGAAAGTATGTCAATGAGAGTGTTACGACGCAAGAGAGCAGTTTCAATTTCAAGTGTCGGGTTATACCTACATTTTAGGTTGTTTTTTGGGCTCTGTTCATGTTGTTGCTTGTTGTGGATCTCTGCTGAGATTATGTCTTCACTGTTTTCTCTGAGAATTTGGGGAGTTTCCATTCAATAGGTAGGTATGTGGGGTTTTTTTTCTCGGCTGATTTCTGCATATGTCAGTTTAACGTCTATAATGCCAACAGAATCAGCAGCATTCACACCCTCATGCTGAGAAATCAAATGATGAAGAAGATGTAAGTGGAACCGGTGGAGCAGAGTAACAGATCAGTGCAACACATGATCAGTCTGGTCCGGTCGTTTACGGCACGTGAATCCAAATCTGTTGATTCCAGCATGAATA